CTCTGAGCTCGCGTCTTGCACGACCTTGCCGTAAAGTTTTCTGCATTTTCATAAATTACATACATCCGTGGTACGTCGCGTGTTTGCTCTTTATATAACGCAGACCACGTCGCGCTTCGCGCACACACGTCACTCCGTCGCACTTTGAATGCGCCATCGAGACACCCCGTTTCGTTTATGAACGCCAACAGGAAAATGCAAACGCGGAATGAAATGGAAATTTCGCGTTGCTCTCGAATCTGCTGCGTTAGTTGTCAAATAAGTCATCAAAACGCCAATATATATATAAAAACGTGGCTTAACATTCGACAGCTCGATAATAAATTTTCAACGTTTCGACTGTAACTTCAACAAATTATAAAATATTAAAAAAGATTCTCGATATGACATAAATGGACGATAAAAAAAGAACACGGTTTTTCTTATTAATAAACATAATTAAGATTAAACGTATAATTGCGCACTATTTATAGTGCTGATTCTTATTAGCATTATATTATTGTCTATTTATAAAAATTAGAAAGACTAGCGATGATTATGCAGCAGGATTGTTGTTATTAATAAAATAAAAATTGTATATATAAAAAAGAAAAATCCTAATATAAGTAACGTCTCTTTAAATATTAAAGTAGCAATATCCGGCTATTCAATTCAATAATATATCCTTTTAATACTGATCCCTTGGAAGTAACATCTCTACGTAAATTCAAACTTTTAATAATCATTGATATGTTATTTTTTAAGCGATAAGAGTATCTCTGCTTCCTGAAACATATTCCCGATACAGTCTGCAATAACGTTAATTTTTACGAAAGAGAGAAAAGATTTTTACGAAAAAGGGCACTTAACTGACTAAAAAGTAATTTAATAATTAAAACGAAATTTTAAAGTAAAATCCAAGCTGTTATAGTTTGGATTAAAAATACTCTAAAAAATTGAATGTAGTAATAATGGTGTAAATAAATGCAAAGTGCTAAAGATTTGGCTTCACTTCGGTATATGAGTAACAATAGGAAAATGGAATGAAAATTTCATGTCGCTTTCGAATATGCTGTGTTCACAAATGCTAAAGAAGTCGCTGAAGTTTTCATGTTGCAGTTTGTAAAAACATCTATTTTACAAATTTAGTTTAATTTAAATTTAATTTTAATTCTAATTTTATGACTAATAAAAATATATTTTATATATACACACACACGCGTGACAAGATCCAAAGTATTAAAATATTAATATGACAATATTACATTGAACTCGAAATCAGAATTATGTTGGCCAGCACATTAAATTTTCGCTAAGCGATTCTGACGTTTTCAATACAATTCCAAGCTGCAATCTTCGAACGGGATTGTCTTGTCTACTGACGATTTCAATCCGGACCAGTCCTGAATGCGGTGCCAAAACTGATATCGCTCAGCGTCGCGCTGAGAGACGAGTATCAGTTTTGCATCTCGCTTTTGCGGGAACACGCCGTAAATTTCGTAAAATCGATTGTGACTGCAGCGAGCTGGAAAGCCACATTTGGTTTACGAATGTGTGCAACACGTTCAACACGCATGTTAAAACACGGGCTTAGAAACAACGCGCAACATGATATTTACAGAATATCATAAATGCAGAACGAGCAAAATATTTTATTCGAATGTTTGTACATTTTCTGCAGTTTGTTTCGGCAGGTGAAATTATTCGGCTTGAATATATTAATCTAAAATTCAAATTTAAAAGATTTTGAATTTTGAATGAAAAATTTATATAAAAAATTCTAATTTAAAGTAAAAAGGAGTTATTTCTTAGGAGAGATATTTATTTTGGCGTGTGAAACTTTAATAAAACATGGAATTTAATTTAGAAACAATTTAAAATAAAATATGAAAAAGGAGCGATGTTACATATTTTGAATTTTTGTTTACTTTATAAATTTCATAAGTATTTTTAATGCAGTAGGAAAAATATACAGATACATACATATATATATAAAATATAATTTTTATACAATTGTAAGTTATAAGAAAAATTATAAGTAACAAATATATCTTTTTCCTTTAAATTTACTATCAAATTTCGTATTATATATTTAAAAAAAGGGAAAATATAATCTTTTCGAGTTATGTAAAACATTTTATTTCATATATTTTCACCTTTAAAGCTTTTTCAACATTTCTTAAATGCTTCAACAATTTTGTAAAGTACTGTACATGTAGTGCTATATACAGTGTAAAGGGAAAGGGTACTTTAACTTTGCACTCTAACGAGTGCAATTCTGGTGCGTCTAATACGTTACTGATTGATCGTTCCCAGTTCCGCTCTCGTTCCTAAATTTGCAGGAAAGCTCTGATTGCGCGAGGTAAAGCTTTAATGGGCTTTAACCTAACTGCACCTTAAGAATAATTTCGCGTTCCAGTTTACTATCAAGAGGCTCTTCTTCGTCGAGAAGTGCTTTCTCGCGATCAAACTCATCCCGTGCCGGAGCAATCTCTCCGATTGTCATTGGCTTTTGCGCAATGCTATATGTATATGCGTCTCCAATTATTCGTACAATTAAACTTGAAAGATCATATCTCTCGACGTATGGTATGCTTCGTTGAGCAATTAACGTCAGAGATCAAACAACGGAAGTATGATGATATGGTAAAATTATAATAATTTCTAACTCGCGAGATGAATATTAAAGTTTTCCAATTTTTCGACACAAATTGCAATATTAGTCTGTCTTTTCTTTCTTAAAATTGTCAGGATTATTTTTAATTTATAACTTCTGTAATACTGTTTTAATTAATTTATTTTAATCGATTAATTAATGAAAAACGCTTTCTAATTTGATTAGAACTTTTAAATTTTGTTTTCTAATTTTCTTTTGGAATTAATCACAATTAACAATTAATTGTTTAAAAATATTAAATGTATTTTTTCATACAAACTTTTTTTCATTGAAAAAAAGTTAATCTTAAATTTGAAACAAATATTCTTAGTTGACACTGATTCTGTATAAAATTCTTATGAATTTGGAACAACAATATATATATATATATATATATATATATATATATATATAGTA